TGAATAAATAACTTTCCTTCTTTTCTCTTTACTCTTACTATGACATTCTAGTAATTAGTAGGGAAACGTGAAGTTAGTGATCAATAGGTGGATTGACATCCCCAAAGAAAAGGGAGGAGCACATTATATGGCAGTCGCTTCACAATCAACACAATCTTTTTTCTGTCATGGCAAATCTGAAACGACAAGATCGGTACAGCTAAGCATGACGTTAACAACAAAAACACATCAGTTAATTCTTTTGAAATATTAAATGAACTAGCATTATAGGATGCATATCATGAACATTTCATGTATAAATATTGATGAAGGGGTCATATCTCTCACAAAAAAAACAAGAAGAAAAAAAGAAAAAGCCCGCTAGATCAAAAATCCCAAAAGGACGATCTAGGCAAAAGTTAGGGCTAAACCAAAAAATAAATAAAAAAGGAGATCATCAGTATAATCATAAAAATCCAGCAAAGGAATGTCAGTCACCTTTTTAGATGCATCAAATAAGAGAATAGATTGTATTTAGGGCATCCACACACCAGTAGTCGTACAAAACGACTCTGTCAAAATAAAAAATCAAAAATAAAAATCTCTTCAAATAAATAACAAAAAACAAGATTCATGCATATAAGGAGACTAGCTCCATGATTGTGATTGAAAACAGGAAGCACCCAGACCAAGTGTCCAAATAAAGCTCCCCTCAAGAAAATAAAGCAAGTCGTCAAACGACTCAGGACAAAATAAGAGCTTCTAGAAGTCAAAGCTCCAGCTACCATCCTTCTACCCAATAAAGAAGGGGCACAATTTAACCAAGAAAAAACCGAAGACAAAAGCAAAAATATTACCCTAAGAATTAGCATCGCCATCACATGAGTCATCGAGCATACTCCAACCAAAGCTCCACCTATCATCCTCCTATTCAAGAAAAGAGGGCAATTTAAACACAGAAAAAGCTGAAGGAAAGGCTTAGACATCCCTCAAGAGGATTCTTGCCTACTTCAGAGGCAAAACCAAACATATTACACTAAGGCTCAGCACAACCGCCACATGAGTCAGCAAGCACACTCAACAAAATCTCCACCACAGAAAATAAGGGACTCAAGAGAAGAAAATTCTCCATCCCCAACGGATACCCAAAAAGAAAAGGCCATAACAAGAGAAGGTCAATAAACTCCCCAAGTGAATCACGCAAGAAAAATATCAGAAATTCCTCCTCCATGGAATAAGAGCTTTCCAGAGTCAGCTCTCACCATCATTAATCAAGGAGTCAAGACTGCATCCCTTCAGAGGGCAACTAAAACTAGATCCCTAGGGAAACACAAAAATTCCCCGGTGGATCATCAAAAGAAAAGCATATCTCCAATGAGCCTACTACAAAGGCAATCCTTAGAGTCATATCCTCAGAAAGTCATTCGCCTGCGCATAGGTAATTCTAGGCAATACTTGGCAAGCAAAGAGTCAACGTCCCCAAAGGGAATATCAACCTATTTAGAGGCAAAACAGTATAACAAAAATAAAAGTCTTCACTATAGAAGAAGCATCCGCCTACTCAAAGGCATCATCAGAACCAACAAATCCCTAGTGGATTCCTGCCTACAGAGACATTCATCAAAAATCTCCAGCAATCAACAAGTTAGATGGTTATCACAAAAAGCCAAAATATCCCCGACACACTGGACAAATACTCAAACTTCAAACAAAGAACTACTCCCCATGAAGTCAACGCATGATCAAGATCAGTAAGTCGCTAACGCACAGTTCAATCCAAGAAAAATAACTCTAACTAGATGAGAGTTCGTAGTCATCACCACAAGGTCGAAGAGAACACCATGTGGATATCTACATTCATCACCGGCGCATGATCAGGATCAGTAAGCTGTCAATAAAGCTGAAGGGTTAGCTACCGCATCAAAGGAGCATCCCAAGGCTACATTAAACCTGATTAGGGTTCATACTCATCAACCAAGGAGTCAGCTACTGCATCAAAGGAACATCTCAAGGCTACATCTACCCTGATGAGGGTTCGCACTCATCCACCAAGAGGTTTGTTATCGCATCAAAGGAGCATCCTGAGGTTTCTCACTCATTAGCTACGAGGTCAGCTATCGCGTCAAAGGAGCATCCCAAGGCTACATCCAACAAGATGGGGGTTCATACCCATCATTATAGGGTCAAAGGGAACACCCTGTGGTCATTTTTTAAAACACCACAATTCATCATCCTGAGGGTCAGCTATCGCGTCAGAGGAGCATCCAAAGGACAGCTTGACAAGAGGGTTAACTCTTTCACCTGCCGGCCGGTCTCTTGATACAATAGGCAACAACAGGTCAGTCAGGTGAAGGGGGGGGGCAGCTGTAGACCTCAAATCTTGTCCGGCCTCACGTTAAGTTCAGAAACCCTCCGTTTTGAAGATGGTCAAGACTTTGATAGGGCCTTAGTAGCATTTTCTAGGTTCCATTTAAGATAAGGAGTTTTTTCTGAGAAAATAAAAATCGAAAATTTTGTCGAAAACGTCGAATGGTCATCCAGGCTAACGAGACGGTCGTCCATGCCTATTTTCAAGTAATTAGGGATGGAAAAATGGGTCGACCAGCCTGCTTTGGCCGCCAAAAGCGGGCTAGCTCCTATATAGTCATGACGGTCAGTAAACTTTGGCCTGTCCCACCAAGGGGCGGGTTGACTGGCTAGCGGGTGGGTCGGCCCGCTATAATTTAAAATAAATAATTTATTTTTTAAAATATTTTTTTTAATAAATTTAATAATAAGATTATTATTTGTTTGTCAATAATTCAATATATATATTATTTCAATTTAATAATATAAATCAATACATTGTTTTAAGAAATTATAATTTAAAACAATAATAAAATTTACATAATAATAAATAATAACAAATATATATATATGTATATATATATATATATATATATATATATATAACATTAAAACTTATATTTTTTATATTGAAAAATTCAAATATCTATATCTTTTTTATTTGATAAAATTTCACATTATTCTTGGTTGAATAATTCTTACACTTTTAATTTAAGTCGGAAGGATAAAAATAATCGAGTTAGGATGAACAAGGAGAACAAGAAAGAGAAGGTTGTGTTTTAGTAAGGAGAATATTTTCTATGAGAGTCAAAAAAATTTAATTCTCTTTTTAAAAATTTTAACTTTATATATTGTCTTTATAATTAATTTTATTACAATAAAAAATTATTTTTTATTAATTAGACGAGTCGCGGCTGGCCCGCCACGTCCCACGGGTTGGTGGGCTTGGCAGGGCGGGCCAAAGCGGGCTGGTGGGCTGAAAACACCAACCCATCCCGCCATATTATGGCGGGCTGCCGGGCCGGCCTGTCGGGCCTAACCTATTTTGCCATCCCTACAAGTAATGGATGACCGTCCATTTGGATTAGACGGTCGTCCATGCTCATTTTAGGCTATGGACGGTCGTCCACTTTTCCTAACTCGTTTCCCTATAAATAGGATTCCCATTTTCCTCATTCCACACACATTCACACTCTCCTATGCTCTATAGAACCTATTTTGGGACTTCTGAGCATTATTTCAGAGTATGAGTGATCTTTTTGACACTCGGGGAGTTTAGTTCTTAATTTTTGTTTAACGGAGGAGTGTCTTTGTAGAGTGCGGGACTGCCAAAAACGTTCTCAAGTACAAGATTTATAAAAACTCGCTTCGGAGGTTCTTCTTCATATCTCTTTCTTTTACTGTTTTTTTTTACTATTTTCCTTGTATGCATTAGATACTAGGACCATGTAGATAGTTGTTTAAATACTGCATTGAATAAATAGGGTAGAAACATAATTTTTTTAAGTTTTTATTTTAAGATTATTCCATCATAAGTAATCTAAAAGGGGTGTTGTAGAGTGTTAGTACATTTCCCACACGTAACTAACTTATTTAACCAACTTTTGTTATAATTACCAAAGTTGTTTTTTCTTAAACCAACGCATTATTTTCTCCTTTTTCGATGTTTATGATAAAAATATCGATGACGACTCCCGGACTCATTTATGAAAACCTTATTTTCAAGGGTAACTCGGTTATCGAACACCCTAAGAACGATAACCATCTATTTTTAAAATAAACGCTAATCATCAAAACTATCACATCGCTCCGACTAATTTTTTACGACTAATTTTTTTACGACGGTATAGCTCATGCCACTTTTTTACCACAGCGACAAATATTAATTAATGTAAAAAAATTAACACAGAAAAAGAAATCCGCTTAGATTTTTAATAATTATATATGCGCTTTTAGATGATAAAATGTAATAATTAAAAGTTTTAATAATTGTTCTTACATGTCGAACTCCAATGTACCTTTTTCATTTGATCAGTTAATATATACTCTGACGATTATTTTGGAGTGTGCCGTTAATATCCACTTTCTTTAAAATTAATCTCTTTTGATCTTCTTTATAGAATAAAATTAATTAATTATTTAATAAAATATAAAAGTAGTAACCAGTAAGTAATATCTATCTCATTTAAAAAAACCATTTATCATGTACATTTAAAAATCAAAAGCATAAAGCATGTAGACCTTCTTATTTCATCTGTCTCAGCCAATACCACCACCAACATTATTCATTCCACCTTCCACCTTTGAAATCCAAACATGAAAACAAACAAAATTTTTTTAAGTAATAAAACACACGCTTTATTTTATATACTAACATTACAAGTTGTATTCTGAAAGGTCATCCAAGCAAATTCCAATTATAAAATTCTGTTCATATTTCGGAAAGCAAGAGCTATTAGAAAATTCACAAATTTCACAACTCCTGTCCCAATCAATGCATCAAACAAAACCCAATCAGCACAAATTGAGAACCAGAAACGAAGAATATTGTTAGTTTGAATAATAAATTTTCATGAGTCTACGATTCTTTCGGGTGCAATCAGCATCGCGTCACTTCAATTTAAATTGTATTGTATGAGAACGATTTAAGAAATAAAGCCGCCAACATGAGGAACTCAACGGGGACCCAACGAAACCGTAATATCAGGCATCTTAATACTGTCCGACCAAATCCTCGACGTCAAATAAAACTTCGAGATCTTCCCAGCTACGCGTCCCATGTTCGGTCGCTTATCTGGATCCACGTGTACGCACTCCAAAGCGACACGTGTCAACTTCTCCGCTATGTCCACCGGGAAGGAATCTTTTAATCTCCGATCCACCCACTTTCTCAGCTTCCCCTGCACGCTACTATCACCGCCGTCCACGGCGGAAGTTGCCGCCTCGATCACCGACGTCCTCACGAACTGACGCGTCTTCTCGTCGAATTTAAACTTCAGTGGCTCCTCCCCGGACAAGAGCTCCAACATCACCACTCCGAAAGCGTATACATCAGATTTCTGAGTCGCCACGCCGGAGGCTTGAAATTCCGGCGCCATGTACCCCCGCACGCCCTCGAATTGCTTGGATCTCGACGGCGACTGTGGAAATTTCTCCTCGATCTCGCTGATTTCGCCTAATTGTTCGTATTGGAGGTCGATTTCGCCGCAGAGCTGCGCGGCGCCGAAATGACAAACCCTAGCGTTGTATGAAGGTTCGGTGACAATGATTCCGCTGGATTTGATATGGTTATGGACGAAATTGATGTTCAAACCGGTTTTGTTGTGAATGTAATCGAGGCCGTGAGCGAGATCCGCGGCGACCTGCATTCGCGACATCCACGTGGAGAGAACAGTGAAGTGCGTGTTGTTCTTGTTGCGGAGACAATCGGAGAGGCTGGCGCCGTTGACGAAGTCGTAGACGAGGTAGATGTGGTCGCCGGAGACTGAGGCGCCGAGGAGTTTGATGATGCTGACGTGGTGGCTGCGGCAGACAACGGAGAGCAGTTGCTGCAGTTGATTGGTCTGGAGTTTGCGTCTGAACTTGCGCTGGAATACAATGACGTCGGCGCCACGGAGAGTGCAGCGCCAGCAGGGGGTGGAGGAGGAGTAGCGCTTGGCAAGGAAGTTGTTGGTGGCGGCGCAGATCTCGGGAAAATCGTAGATGTGAGGGTTTTCGGGGAGCGTGTCGCGCAGGTAGTTGAGGGAGGTGCGGCTGGAAATGGAGTTATCGGAGGAGAGACGGTAGCCAGTGGAGCCGGTGTAGTGAGCGCTGGTGGTGGCGGTGGAGGTGGAGTTGTAGGAAGTGGAGGGTTTGTCTGAGAAAGAAGTGGTGGGCCTGAGCGTGGGCCTTGATGAGGACGGTGTTGGGCTTTGGGAAGCGCGTTGTTGTGATCGCGGTGTGCGAGTGGGACTTGCCGCGTTGGTTGCCATCTTTGTCTTGCACATAGGAGAATGAAGAAGGAGAAACCGAAGACGAAGGGGTCTTTATTTACAATGAATGGGGGTTGAATTTGAAGTTTGAATTGGGAAAGCCGAAGAAGATAAAGATGATTGGATCGATTCAGCGTATTGAGCGAGCGTGCGCGCAAGTTGAGTTGAACCAAAAATTATTAAATAATGCGATGTCGTTTGGTCTGCGACCCTATCCAATCCCATTCCCACCCTGGCTTTGGTGAATGACGGAGAAAAGAGATTTTGCGGCTCTGCCTTTGCCTGCAAACTGTATACTGTAAACTCTTTCTTTAACTAACCTTTCTCTTTTCTAAACCCTAAAGCAGTTCGTTCAAACTTTCTTCTAATCAAACTTATTTATTTCTTAAATTTATCATTTATTCATATTTTTTTTTCTTTATAGTTCTAAAATCATAAAATAATACCATATGTAATAAATAATATTTATATATTTCGGCCACTTAAATGTTTAATTTCCACACCTATCACACAAACTTTTAAAAGTTCCCTGCAAGTTGCAGACATGGTCAAAAATAAATTGACGAGTGCTGGGTTCGGCTATTCGCCATTGACTTTTGGGTATTACCTTTATATGAATGTCAAATTGATAAAGGTAAGCCTTCATTAATTATCTCTATGTTAGCTTAGAGAGTGAAAAACTCTAAAAGCCAATATTTCATTGATGATATCGATGTTCATCATCCACTGGGCTATGAAATTATCCAAATGTGTATGAAGATTAATGTATCAGACTCAGAGACACCGTTGTTTGTTGAAATTTGAGAGTGCCATTTTTATTTGGTGGACCAAACTTGGAACATGGGCTATTATGGACATTTCCTCTTGCACCCAAAATAAATCAAGTCACACCCCTTTTCTCACAGCTAATCTCAATTATAATAAAAAAAAATTATATTCAAATCTTTTCCTAACGAAATAAACTATGGAATGGTTAGAAAAAAATAATTACTATACAAAAAGAAAATTAATTTTTTATAAATTAAAGTTAAAAATTTTGAAAATTTCTTTTCATTTCTGTTACAAAAATATTTAGGAGGAGATTGTCTAAATATGTGTTTTTTTCTAGAGTTTAATCTTAACTTTTATTAGGACATTGACTGAAATAAAAGGTATCTAAACTATTTTTAACAACAATTTTTAAAGAAAGTTGCAATTACTTAAAAATAAAAATAAGTATTTTATTATGAGTCCTATATTTTAAGTTACTTAAAAGTGGAAGACATTATTTAAAATTAGAAAAAAAATTACTTAAATAAGTAATTTTAACCAAATTTTAAACAACTCAAACGTGATCTTTATACTAAAATATTCAATTTTATTCTTAAACCATTCTGGTTAAAAATTCTCTTTACAAATATTCTTTTTATTTTATAAAGAGTGATTAACAAAAATAATTTAAAAATAAAAATAAATATTTTATTGTGTATCTCATATATATATATATATATATATATATATATATATATATATATATATATATATATATATATATATAAGTGATTTAAAATAAAAAATTATTTTAAATTAGAATAAAATTAACTCATATGTAAAATTTATAACTTTATTTATGTTTCTTTCTTTAATCATTAAATTTGATTCTACCTTTAAATAATGAAAACTCAACTTTTTAATGATATTATTTATGGTTGATTTAGGGTCCTTTCCTCTAATCATTAAATTTGACTATTTATTATTTTTTTATACTTTAACCGAGATTTTCCTTCTTATTTTTTTCTGTTGTTTATATAATAATTCAACTCATGATGGTTATTGGAGTATGAGTAGCATGTAGTCTTTAGATGATATCAAAATATACATAATATGATGTCAAAATTTAAAGAGAACACTAACTCTCGAAAAGCTATTTTGAAAAATCGACTTTAACCTAAAACTCCTTTTAACATTGACCTAAATTTTCGTCAGACCAAAAGTAAGTAGTCTTAATCTTCGAGTGTGATGTGAAGAAACACTTCCTTCCTTCACAAAATAGCGACAACATGTACATACATAAAATGTCACGCACGCACGCACCAAAATCTTTACTTGGGCCGTTAACATCGTTCAAACTATTCTGAACTCAAGCTTGGGCCACTAACGGGCCTGTTATTCTAGCACTATTAATTTATTCTTATTCAGAGGAATAATATGGATACTGACTAACTATAATCATCTTTATTTGCGTAATTAGTTTTAATCAATTTTAAGGATTTTTTTTCTTTCTAATATGTCTTCACTCGAGATAAAACTAATATCTCGCCTATAACTCAATTAAATGAAAGAATTAATTATTATTTTTTTTAATCTTGGAGGATAACAAAACATTAATTTGTATCAACTTGTGTTTATAATTTTAAGATTATAATTATGTCATGTAGAATTATTAATTCTCTAGTAAATATGTGAACTTGAATAGTTTTTGGGGATATTGAAGGAATGTTTGGTTTGGGCAGGAGGAGAAGAAGAGGGTGAGAAAACAATAGAAGATTTTACCTAAATTGGTGTCAATCAAATCAGAAAGAAAAGTAAAAGGCAGAGTTTAGGTTTAACAGAAAAATAAAGATACAACACATTGCCAAATTTGGAGTTATACGTGTCCTTGTAGCTTAAGTCCAAAACAATATGAAGTCAGATATGTTGACAAATTTGGCTCTAAAGTTACCTCTTTGTAAAAGCTTCCACACAAATCATGCAATATCTTTGGGTTTTTTTTTTGTTTTTTTTTATGAACTTGGTCCATGTGTTCAAAGACTCTGGGAGCTCTTCGTAATAAAATATCAAATAATAAAAACGAAAATATTGAATAATATATAAGAAAGTTTCATAATGTGTTTGAGTTGAAAACTTTCTTTAAAAGAACTTTAAACAATAATTTTTTAATTAATATTAAATATAAAAATTCTTTTTACTCAACTTCTCATTTTAACTCATTTAATGACCCTTCCTTTTATAAAGAAAAAATCACACTAACATGAATAATTTTAGATATACCATATAAAATTGAACAAGTTAAATTATGTCAAATCAAAATCAAAGAAGACGTGATTAAGACACGTTAGGTTAGAAGTCAAGTTTATTTTACTTTGATCAAATTTATCTGGATCAAATTATAATAGGTTGGATTAACAATATTTTAACTTTGATCGAACTAAAGATATTCATATTAAAATTAAATAAAAAATTATCAAAAAACTATAAATTAAAAAAAAATGACAAAATATAAAAAATTATTTTTGTTTGTTAAGTTGAATTAAAAATTATTTAATTTTAGTTAATCAAATTATTATCATAAATTTTTAAACTTTTAACTTATTTTAAAAAAATCCAAAAAAATTATAATAAAATATTATATGTATATATAAGAGTAAAGAATTGACCCTAATCATATTTTGATATTATAATTGAACTTAGAGTATTTATATAGAAAATATGTGAGAAATTAATCCAGAGTGGGAACTGTCCTTGCAAGCAACGAAGCTCTGAATTATGATACTGTGTATGATGTTATTGTTAATTAGTATCATGTGAATTAATTGAAGCACCCCTGTTCCTGGTTGTAACTTGAGTAATATAGTGTGGAAGAGCATCTTGCATCTGAATTAGACCCCACTTCTTTAGACACTTTAATGTCACCAAGCAAATGAATGGTCAAGGTGACTGAAGGATAGTCCAATGTTCCTTTCTGTGAAATTTCTACTTTATATTCTTTCTTCAACCTACAACAACGCATACCCACCCTATTTCTCAGCTACGCTTAAGAATCTTCTCCATCCGCTGATATGACAATTACAAACTTTAACATTAACCCAACCAAAACACATTTTCTTTTACTTCAACCTGCATGTGCCCACTTAATTGGACTTTAACTTTCATTTCAACATCAGTTAATGCCATTGTTAATCACAGTTTTGTTTGGTGCAGGAGAATACAGAAATACAAAATAAATAAATGACCCGATTTTCAAAGAGAATAAAGGGTAGGAAGAGATTTTGTTAAGTGGATCTGAATTCAAAATCTTTTGCCCAGATGGAAGAGAAATCCGTGAGGAAAGTGAGGCTTTTATTAGAACGGCAAATTATCATAATTTTGACCGTTGTATGTGAAGTATAACCTGCAGTTAAACGAGTTGCCTACGAGTTAAAGGTTTTAAAAAAAAAAAACAATTTGTAAACACTGATTTACTATATATATTAATAATTTATCAAAATTTTATATTGTAATAAAGGTTAAGAAACATGTTCATTAACCTAATAATAGTATCGTCCATGTATTCATTAGACGAATAAGAGTAAAAAATGTTAAGTCGTGGGGAAGAGACAAGCTTTCACGTCGAGGGCAATGGATGTGGGAGGAACAAGAAGGTGGCAGAGTGGCAGTGGCAGTGGCGTGAATACAGGGTAAGGGTGGTGGCAAAAGGAAACAAAAGATGAAGAGAGAGAGAGAGAGTGATGGCTAAGAAAGATTGACAGTGACATGCACGCACTGAGTACTGTTACACTGTGGTCACTAACCCGCTCGAGGGAAGAGGTGTTGAGGAACCCAAATGAAAGAAAGAAAGAAATGTGTTTGGAATCGATGCTGCACTGCACCCTCTCAAGTCTAGGCTTTCTGTCCTGTTCTGTTCTTTGTGACGTTATTCTATTGTGTGACCTTACTGCAATTAAGACCTACAGTATTGCACTTTATTAGGGATTGTTCCTTTTGCTGTCTTTTCTTTTTATGGTTCATTTTACTTTTTCCCTTCCTCCAATACACCCATCAAAATATTAAATCAATCCTATCACAAATTATAACTTTTTTCTTTTCTTTTCTCTAATTTTTCATTTTTACTAAAAATAATCAATCATCACTGAATTTTAAGCCAATAAAATCGACCTAAGAATTTCCCCTGGCAAGTTAAATTCGAGTTTTCGAATTTCAAATAATTTATAACATGTTTACATATTATATAATGTCACATGTCATACATAATAATA